CCTGTGCCTCACCTGTGACCTTTCCTGTGAGGGATGCTCCACTAGAATTCACACTGCCCTCATTCCCCAGGTGGCAGTGTGGACAGTGCTGGCTGCTGGACGAGTGGCCTTAAGCTCACACCGAGTACGGCCATTGACCAAGAGTGCATTGTTGAGGGATCCCTATGCACTTCGGCCAGTGCGACGCCTCATTGACAACTGTGCCTTCCGGCTCTACGGGCATTGGGTAAAGAAGGGTGAGCAGCAGAACCGGGCAGCTCTCTTCCAGCACCGGCCCCCTGGGCCTTTTCCCCTCATGGGCACTGAAGAGGAGGGAAACACCACTGCTATCACTGAGGATGAGACGGCACTGGTGCAGGGCTAGGACCTTAGCCCTGGGCAGCCTCAGAAAGCAGGATTTTCAAGGAGGAGACTTTTATCATTCCAGCCCCTCTGGGCTCTGACCTCAGGCCTAGCAAGTTGCACCACTGATCATGCCACTGTTGTAGAGACCAGCCCTGTGCACCTACTCTCATTGGCTTAGGGCTTGAAATCAGAGCTGGGGTGGAAGGGGAGCCATTCTGAATGCCATGCCTGGCCTTGTCAGTGCTGCTTGTGCTGCATCTGAAATAAAATCTGCTCCATGCTGGGAAGATCATGTGCCCCATGTCTGTTGTCTGGCTTCAGCCCAGAAGGTGCTCAGGAGGGTGGCCCAGGTCAGGGCACTCTGGCCCAGGCTTTTATTGGGGAAAATGTTGGGGATCACTTAGTCTTGTTCTTGTTTTTGCTTGGAGGTAGCTGGTGAGGCCGCTCTAGAGCACTCAACTTGGTGCTCAGCCTCTCCTCACTGGCCTTGAGGCGCTCTTCCACCAGCTGCTGGAGCTGCCCCAGCTCCTTATTAAGTTGGGTCTTGATGTAGGTTCGGAGGACACAGACTTGGGCTGCACAGAAGGAAGGGGCAGGTCAGGAGAGATGCATTCTGAGAATGACAGAATGTCCCTGGCTGAGTGAACATAACCCCATGGTGTCCCCCATACAGATGGCAATGTTATTTACTTCAGTCTAGGAAATATCAACCAGCCCTTTTGGAGAGACTGTTGGGCAGATTAGGCAGAGTAGCTATGTTGGGCTTTTCTGGATTAAAATTCTGAATACAAATTAGTAGCTACATAGCTTTAGGCAGGTTGACCTTTCCATGCCTCAGTTTCCTTGTATAAAATGTAGATATTGCTGGGCACAGTGGCACATGGCTATAGTCTCAGCTACTCAGGAGGCTGAGGCAAGAGAATTGCAAGTTAGAGGCCAACCTCAGCAACATAAGATTCTGTCATAAAGTAAAATTAAAAGGGTAGAGCACTTGCCTAGCATGCACAAAGCCTTGAATTCTGGGTTCAATCCCCAGTACTGAAAAACTAAAAAAGTAGATAGTAATGACACCTAGCAAGAGACAACTACGTGAGTTAATATACAGAAAAAGTCTTTTAATTAAAACAAGACATCCTTTGGTGGTACACAGTATTGCCAAAGCTCTGCATTCTATTATTGTCATTGTTTTTCTAATCATCTTCCTAGAGCTACCTCTTTTGCCACCCCCACCTTCCCTAGCAGTTTTGCTCTTACTAATTCAACTTGGACTGCATAAGGAATCTTCTAGAAAGTGGACCATGACTAAAACTAGAAGTCTGAAGTCCTGATGTGGTCTACAATCTTCATTCAGAATCACAAGGCACCCTAAACCCTCCAGGTGCTCACATGGCTCTTGCTCTGGCTGGGCCACTATCTCCAGTTCTTCCTCCTGTGGGGTGAGTGCCTGCTCCTCTGCCTCCTCACCTTCTTTCTCTGCAAGCCAGAAGCAAGAAGAGGCCTTAGACTCTGCAGTGGGCTTGGCCCATCCCTGCCCTGGCCCTGGCCCTCTTTGGTACCCATCTTACCCTTTGGCCAAGGCTTGGGTGGCTGTAGCCCCATGTAAGTCAAAGATAGATCCAGCCGTACCTGGGAAGAGAAAGAACAAGACTAAGAAAAAGGCACCTGCATTGAGAGAAAGGGGAAGATGAGGGGCAGTTTCTTGCCACCCACATCACAGTACCTGGGGTGTGAACACATATTTGTAGAGTTTGAAGTGGCGGAAGTAGGTGTTGACCACGTAGTCTGCCAGGGCCAGCAGCTGTTCCTCCTTAAAGAGGTCAATGCTGAATGGGGGCCGCTGTGGTGATGACTGGGAGTTAGAGCACTGACAGCCTCCAGAAGCCCAGGCCCTTAAGCTATCTAGGTTCAGGGAGAGCCCACAGGTCTTTAGAGAAAGATGAGGGTAATAGTGGGAGAGAGGGTAGAAAATTGGGCTAGACCTTGTCTTGGGGATCAATGATAGTTCTGCCCTCAGATACTGACCCTGACTCCATGGCAGAAAAGAACACTGGTAAAGTAGCGGTAGCATTCCTCCACGTTGCCCAAGGGTGTTGCTGGTAGGGAAAGCAGGGTATGGCAGTGAGGCCCTTCCTGCTATCCATCCCTCCAGTTCACTGCCTACTTAAGGAACACAAGCTTCAGAGGTGGACAGATCTAGGTTTAAGTCTTTGTTCGTTTCCTTAATTCACTCAGCAAATACTGAATCCTCAGTATGTGATGTTGTAGGCACTGAATAAGACAGACAAGGTCCTGCCATCAGGAAGCTTATATTCTAGTGGAAGTAACATACAATAATCCAAGAAATAAATAATTTCAGTTATTAAATATTCTGAAGAAATCAGAATAAGGATGGGGAATAAAAGAGTGTGGGGGGAAAGGCAGAAGTCATTTATTGAACACTGTGCATGTATTTGCATATATTATTTCTCAGTCTCACATAACATTAGTGCTCTGTCTATCAGTGAAGAAACCAGATTCCAGGTGGTAATCTCCTTACTCCTGCTTCCAGAGTCAATTGTGCCAGGCCAGTCTCCCCCTGTCCCTGGGGCTCAAACCTTCTGGTAGCCACTGCTCTCACCAGCACAGGCCTTGTGAAGATCTTGGAGCAGGGCACATGCCACTGATGTCTGCTCCAGTGAGAAGCCCTGCTGGCGGCAGAAGATGAGTGCGTGGGAGTAAAGGTCCAGGGTGATGGCATCCTGCAGGTTCTGCTCAGGACAGCCAATCTTCAACAGCTCGGCCAGAACTCTTAGGGAGAGGAAAGGAGTGAGTGATGATAGAAGCCTTGTTTCACCACCCTACACTCGCCATGTTTGGAGCCAGCCATTCCTCATGTCTTCCTCCCCAAGAGCTCTTCCCCTCCTTGCTCAGTCCCATACTCCCTCATCTCCTCAATGTTCGCAGTCTTCTCCAGCCGGTGCATGGAATGGATGTCCAGGAATTTCCTATCACAGGAAAAGGGGAAACAGTATTTATGATTGGTACACATTAGATTAATGATGGGGCTTATTGCTCAGGAGATCTGAGTTTGAGGCTTGGCACTTTGACTAACTTTTGTAACCTTTGGCAAGTAACTTACCTCTGTGGGCCTTGTTTCCTCCATCTGTAAATGAGGAATATGGCCTACATGAACTTTTATGATCCTCTCAATGAGTTCTTGTCTCTGCTCTTCCACTACCTTGCCATATGATCTTGGTTAAATGCCCCTGTGATCTTCAGTATCCCCATTTGTACAATGTTCCATGGAAGCTATGATACTCCTTTTACATCCTCACTCTTGGCTCCCATCTCACACTGTCTCTTTGGACTAGGGGACCTGGAAAGGTGGCTTATACACACCTTGAGTAATGCATGTGTGAGGCTCAGTCTCCTTATCTGTAAAATGGGGATGTTCTGGGGCTGGGACTGTAGAGCACCGGCCTGGCACGTGTAAGGCACTGGGTTTGATCCTCAGCACCACATAAAAATAAATAAAGATATTGTGTCAAACTGCAACTAAAAAATATTTTTTTTAAAATGGGGATGTCCTGGTTGGGAAACACTAAAGGAACAAAAATATAAGTATGAAGTGTAACTTTCCCCCAAGGCTTTTCACTCACCACATGCAGATCCGGGGCTGGGGCAGTGGCGGCTGCGGAGAGAAAGTGCATTGGGGAAGGAAGAGGTGTGTTGTATCTGGCCCTTAGTCCCTGGTCCGCCGTCAATCTCCAGCGGGGCTGAGAACGTGCTATAATTTGCCTTCTCATCTCTAGGTCTATGTAGAGCAACGTGGTCACGGCTGGACTTAAGCAGGTCCTAAGTACTATCTGTGAAATTAACAATCTGGGCTACACATCCTCTACCTCTCTTCCTCAAAGAATCAAGGGAAACGTCCCGAACGTTAGGGAACGTAATGACGGGTGACGCCCCGTGGGAAAACCATTTATACATATTCGTGAGCGGACCACTTTGTCCCACCCTCACCGGGAACAAGTTGGCTCCAGGATCATCTTCTGCTTCCATAGAGGCCGAGCCCAGTGTAGCTGAATCGGTCCGCACACCTGTTCCCATCATGGCCGATCCATCCGCTGAACTGAGATCCTTCTCCAGTTCCCGCCGCAGTTCAGAGGGCTGTTCAAGCTCCGACTGCACCTTCACTCCCAGGTACTGGCTGGACTTAAGGCTGGTCATCTCTTCGGAGTCTCGAGTCACCACCAGCTCTCTCCGACCTGAGTTTCTGAAACAGCCTATTCTCTAGCAGCGACTGCCAAGGTCTGACCCTCTAGCGATTTTCCAGCCACTGTACGCGGCAGCTAGGCCGGTGTAGCCAATCCGCTGGGCCAGGAAGGCGTCTTCCCGGTCTCCAAGGTGACCGTTGCTAAGAGGCTTGTGAGAGAAAGGTAGAAAGTGCAGGCTCACGCAAATCAGCGAGAGGAGAATGCGCATGCGTGATAAGTTGCAAGATATTTCCCCCTGTTTATCCCCTTGGAAGTTCCTAATAGAAGGGCTTGCACTGTCCTCTGGACAGGAAAGTGGGAGTTCGGTGTCAGTTGCCATGGGAACTGTCTATTGGCCAATCACCCAGAGAAAGAGGAGGTGTTCAGGAAAAAATCAAATGATCCGAGAGGCGGGACAAGCGCGACGGAGAAAAACAGGAAATGAAGACGCTTCGCCACATCCGGTGTTGTCTCTAGCGCCTGCGCCCTATGTGGGAGGGCCAGTGACGTCCGGTGAAATCCAAGATGGCGGCGCTAGGCTGACCCTGCTGTCGGTGAAGGCCCGGGCTGGCGGGGGCGGGATCTTTCAGGTGTGTGCAGGGGACCGCTCGGGGCTGTGGAGCATCGGCCGCTGCCACATCTCTGCTCTGTCTTCTTCAGGTGACCGAAGTACCGCCCTCTCCCGCGACCCTCGGGGGACCGTACGCCGCTCCTCGCCGCCGCAGCTATGTCTGGGCCCGGCAACAAACGCGCCGCCGGCGACGGGGGCTCAGGGCCTCCAGAGAAGAAGCTGAGCCGCGAGGAGAAGACCACAACTACTCTTATCGAACCCATTCGGCTTGGGGGCATCTCCTCCACGGTTCGTGGTCTTTTGCCCTAGTCTTCAGAACTTAGCTACCCCTCCTATCTCTGGTGTCCGCCCAAACCGTCAAGAATCTTAGTGCCAGGTCCCCAAGCTTAGAAAGCTTAACTATAAAGTGTTATAAAACACGTTTTCTTGTAGGAAACCAAGAGCACGACATCTGCCTTCCCCTTGCAGTTACAAAAACAGGTCCCCGAGAGCGTGTGATTTCTTAAAAACTTCAGAGTTAGGGAGAGAGGAAGACGCATAACTTGAGCCTTCTCGTAACCAGGATGCTTTCTCTGGGAATAGTTGAACCTCTTTAAGTCTTGTTCACAGATATTTTGGGAATACCACCCTTCCATCCATTCCAGTTGCTTTCCTTATCTGCTTCTGTGATGGTTTCTGAGCCTTGCTTGACACTCTCCTTGGCACTTTTGTTTCCCTTGGCAGGAGGAGATGGACTTGAAGGTTCTGCAGTTCAAGAACAAGAAACTAGCAGAACGTTTGGAACAGCGACAAGCTTGTGAAGATGAACTTCGAGAACGAATTGAAAAGTTGGAGAAACGTCAGGCCACAGATGATGCCACACTCCTCATTGTCAATCGCTACTGGGCCCAGGTGGGTGCTTTCTGCTTTCTAAGATCTAACCTTGATTCATTTGCTAATTTTCAGATTACCCTACTGAGAAAGGAGTTTCATGCTGAAAAGCACCTAGGGATTTATATTTCTGGTGCTTTCTCCCTTTAGCTGGATGAAATTGTAGAAGCTCTTCTCCGATGCCATGAGAGCCAGGGGGAGCCATCTGCAGGGATGGAGGTACCTGGGACTCAGGAGGGGCCAACACGTGATGTGATTCCTCTCACAGATCCAGGGACATCAGAGCTGAGAGGTAGGACCAGAGCCCTAGGATCTGTGGAGCTTAACTTTTGGGAAATGTTCTGGAGAGTGGGAGATTTTGATTTGGGGTTCTTAAATTTCCCACCCCATCCATCTCCCCCAAGAAATCGTTTTTATGTTTGGGCAGAACATTGCCATGGGTAACAACAAAGACTGTAATTTGATGTGGTTTATAGTGCCAGTGTTGATATTCATCAAGTCCAAAAAACACTGTTAACTAAGTACTTAACGTTGTTTTGGATTAGAAGGAATCAGAGACAAGCAGAAATAAATACTATTCCTATTGTCATGGAGAAAATTACTAAAAGTAATAAGTAAAAACTATTGGGGAGGGCTGGAGTTGTGGCTCAGTGGTAGAGTGCCTCGCCTGCACATGCGAGGCCCTGGGGTCCGATCCTCAGCACTATGTAAAAATAAATAAAATAAAGACATTGTGTCTAATTACAACTAAACATTATTATTTTTTTAAATATTTGGTTTTTAGTTTTAGGTGGACACAGTATCTTTATTTTATTTTTATGTTGTGCTGAGGATGGAACCCATGCTTCACCCATGCTAGGCCAGTGCTGTACCTCTGAGCCACAGTCCCAGCCCCTAAAAATTAAATATTTTTTAAAAAATTATTGAGGTCCCTGAAAGAGAATAAGTATATGTACACACGTATGTGTAGTCCTGCTTTAGACTGGGAAGGTAGATGACTTCCCTGAGGAAGTAATTTGGTAGCTCTGTAGCCTTGAGGAAACTACATTAACTTTTTAAACTTCAGTTGTCTTACTGTCAAGTTGGGGATAATAAGATAACTACTAATTGTGTTAATTGAGTGAGTCATGACATATGGAAGGGCTCAGTCTATAACTTGGTACAGATTGGTAGTCATTGCTACTGTTATTCTGATGAGGATCTGTCCATCCTTCCCAGAGCCCCTGCCAATGCAGCTGCGACCCCCTCTTAGTGAGCCAGCTTTGGCTTTTGTGGTGGCACTAGGTGCCAGCAGCAGTGAGGAAGTGGAGCTACAACTTCAGGGCCGCATGGAGTTTTCTAAGGCAGCCGTGTCCCGGGTCGTAGAGGCCTCAGATCGCCTGCAGCGCCGTGTGGAGGAACTGTGTCAGCGAGTATACAGCCGAGGTTAGTCCTACCCTAGAAGTGTCTGTCTCTGCCTACATCTTTATGGTCTCCCCATCCCCTAACCCATTAATACATTAAGCCCAGAATTCCCCAAGGAATAAATCAGCCATGATTTGGGGGGAAATAGTCTGTAGATGGAGATTCTGTTTGATTCCTGGATGGAAGAGTTGTCGATGCTAATAGTGCCACCGTCTTCCAGCTAGAGACCTATCTAGAGCACTTTGTATAAATTTCAGTGATAGCTGTTGATCCACAAGGCAGAGCAATAAGTGCTTAGGCTTTGTAGGTTGGCTGGTTTCTCTCAGCCTTAGTTCTGCTTCGATAGTGAGGCCTTTCAGGGAAAATGGCTCCCCTCTCTGAGCTAGTTTCCTCCTTTATACAGTGGGGATAAAAAGTCCTGGTTTGCCATGAGAAACTGGCAAGACACTGGTGGATCACTCTGGGCACATATCAGACTCCAGAATGAGTTAGTACTTTAACCTGTTGCCCTTGGGGCTTGATTCTTACCTGGGTCCTGCCTTCCCAGGGGACAGTGAGCCCCCTGGTGAGGCCGCTCGAGCACGCACCCGGGAGCTGGGCCGTGAGAACCGGCGGCTACAGGACTTGGCCACTCAGCTGCAGGAGAAGCACCACCGCATCTCACTGGAGGTGGGAATCAGGCTTTTGGTGGGGGAAGTAGAACCAGGGCAGGGTTTGGGTTAGATGGGTACCCAAAGATCTCGGGTTTCCAAGTCCCTTTATCCAAGCATCTGTCCCATCCATTGCCCCAGTATTCTGAGCTCCAGGATAAAGTGACATCAGCAGAGACTAAGGTGCTAGAAATGGAGACGACAGTGGAAGACTTACAGTGGGACATTGAGAAGCTACGTAAGCGGGAGCAAAAGCTCAATAAGCACCTGGCAGAGGCATTGGAGCAGGTGAGGCTGAAGTGCTGGGGAAGATGGAACCAGGCTCGGGTACTTGGGACCCTGGCTTCTGCTCTTCATATCTATCACCTGTCTCCTCTCTGCAGCTCAACTCTGGCTATTATGTGTCTGGGAGCTCCTCAGGCTTCCAAGGGGGCCAAATCACACTCAGCATGCAGAAGGTGAGCAACGTCATTCTTCCCAGTCCCTATGTCCCTCCCTTAAAATTTCCCTCAGGACCAAAGGCAAATGTCTACCTCATAGCCCCTTGCCTGTCACTCTTGGAGCTCTTTCTTTCACTCATTTATCTACTTATTTAGTAAATAATTACAGAGAACTAAGTGCTAAGTACTAGGTAGATTGGAGAGAAAAAATATCAATACTTTCTTGGAGCTTAGGTTATAGCTGGGGAGTATACAAATTAATGAAATAGTACATCAGTTGGTTATCAAGTACCACAAAGGAAAAGCACAGAAAGAAATAAATGGGGTTATGTAGAGTCCCTTAGCATTCTGGAGTCACTGTGCTATTTGCCTTTTGCTTCAGCTGGCTTTTCAGGTCTTCTGGGAATGCTTCCTTGACTCCCTGTCAGTTAAGAACTTTAGCTCCCAATGTTCAGTACTCCATGCAGTATTGAAACCCCACACTTGCTAAGCAAGCGCTCTGCCACTGAGCCCCAGCCCCAGCCCACAAGTGGGAGATCTTGGGAAAGCCCTTGGTTTAGGGCTTCAGAGTCCCATCAGCGTGTTGCACAGGGTGGCTTGGGTAGAGTTTGTTGTTGTGGGTGAGAGGAACATGCTGCCTGTCCTGGCCCTGCCTACCACAGCCCCTCCCACTCCTTAGTTTGAGATGTTGAATGCAGAATTGGAGGAAAACCAGGAATTGGCCAATAGCCGCATGGCAGAGTTGGAGAAGCTGCAGATGGAACTTCAGGGTGCTGTGAGGACCAATGAACGCCTCAAGGTGGGCTGTGGTTGGGGCTGAGAGGGCCTGGGCCTGCAAGATAGGGACTGAACCCTAAGCCTATTGCTTGCCATTTGGGGCATCCCTTCTCCTAGGTGGCCCTTCGGAGCCTTCCTGAGGAGGTGGTACGGGAGACAGGCGAGTACCGCATGCTGCAGGCCCAGTTCTCACTACTTTATAACGAGTCTCTACAAGTGAAGACCCAGCTGGACGAGGCCCGGGGGCTGCTGCTGGCCACCAAGAACTCCCACTTGAGACACATTGAGCATATGGAGGTATGGCGTTTAGAGTGAGGGCCAAGTCCATAATGTTGAGATATTCCTGGGTTTCTGAAGCCCTCTGTACCTGCCAAGGGTCCCTTGGGAAAAAAAATTCTTTCTAAGGCACCAAGGCATAAGGTGGGACTGAGGGGTTCTATGGGTCTTTACACCTCAATCTACAGAGTGATGAGCTGGGACTGCAGAAGAAGCTGCGCACAGAGGTTATTCAGCTGGAAGACACCTTGGCCCAGGTACGAAAGGAGTACGAGATGTTGCGCATCGAGTTTGAACAGAACCTGGCAGCCAATGAGCAGGCGGGTATGTGGTGGGATTGGGTGGAGGGGGGTCTTATCTGGGGTGCTGGGTCCTGCTGGGGCTGCTGCCATTCAGATGCAGGAAGCAGAGCTATTTCTTTTTTGTAGAGACTCATTTCCCTCTGGGAAAAAGGACTATACTACCTGGTTCTTAGGCATGGTGAGGGTTGCATTCAGTTGAGGTGGCTGACAGAGCAAGAACATGAACTATTGGCTCCATCTGTTTCTCTGATCTTCTGGTGTATCTATCAGAAATTTATTTTATAGACATTTATAGAATACCACCTGTAAACCAGGCTGTGTTCTAGGTTTTGGGGTTGATAACGAATGAGGCACAAAGAATTGCTGCCATTATGGAATAGTGTTGCAGTAATGGGGAGACAGATGGTAGGAAAGGGATAAAGTGTGTATATCATATAGTGATGAAGATACCAAGAAAAGTGAAGCAGGAAAGGGAGATGGGAAATATCAGGAGAAAGGGCATACAGCTTGCAGTGGGGATATCAAGCAGATGTCACCTAGGAGGACATTTGTATAAGTATCTAGTGAGTATCTAGTGAGTGTTAGATGTCTGTTCCAAACAGGGAAATATGGAGGTATTTAAAAAAAAAAAAAGTCTACATTAGTTACTTAGGTGGAAATCACACTCTAGGCCTCAGTTTCCCCTCCTGCACAGCAGGAGTATTGGTTCTGGGTCAGCTTCTTTTCCCACTGAAGGGTTAGGGTAATATAGGGACCAGTCCAACACCCTTACTTTCCCAACCCTCCCCCAGGGCCCATTAATCGTGAGATGCGTCACCTGATTAGCAGTCTCCAAAATCACAATCACCAACTAAAAGGGGATGCCCAGCGATATAAGCGGAAGCTTCGGGAAGTACAGGCTGAGATTGGCAAGGTGAGGAAGGGACTGCCTGGGAAAAGCTTTGGCTGGACCCCAGTAAGCATTGGCTCACCTCATTCCTCTTCCTCTCTGTCTTGGCAGCTCCGGGCCCAGGCTAGTGGCTCAACCCACTCCATCCCTAACCTGGGCCATCCAGAGGACTCTGGCCTAAGTGCCCCAACCCCGGGGAAAGAAGAGGGTGGGCCAGGTCCTGTTGGTACCCCTGATAGCAGAAAGGAGATGACGTCAGTCTCTGGTGCCACCACTACTACCTCCTCAGTGAAGAAGGAGGAGCTGGTCCCCTCCGAAGAGGATGCACAGGCCATAACCCCAGGGGCCCAGGGCCCCTCCTCCCGGGGCCGAGAACCTGAAGCCAGGCCCAAGCGGGAACTTCGGGAACGGGAAGGGTCTGGCCTAGGACCACCACCTGTAGCCTCAGGTCTCTCAAGGGTGGATCGAGAAAAGGCCAAGGTGGAAGAAGCCAAGAGGAAGGAGTCAGAGCTGCTGAAGGGTCTCCGAGCAGAGCTCAAGTGAGGCCCTATTGCTCTCTCCTTTTATCCCAGTGACCTAAAGCCCTACTTACCAAGCCTTCCTCCTACATCCTTCCCCAGGAAGGCCCAGGAAAGCCAGAAGGAGATGAAGTTGCTGCTAGACATGTACAAGTCGGCACCCAAGGAGCAGCGGGATAAGGTGCAGCTTATGGCAGCTGAACGCAAGGCCAAGGCTGAGGTGAGGGCAGGTAGGGCTTGTGGGGCATGCAGGGAGGCTAGCCCAGAGGCTGGTGACCAGAGACGTAGGTCAGCAGAAAGCAGTGACAGCTCCCTTCTGTGGCTGTAGGTTGATGAGCTACGGAGCCGCATTCGGGAACTGGAAGAAAGGGATAGAAGGGAGAGCAAGAAGATTGCAGATGAGGACGCCCTGAGGCGCATTCGGCAGGCTGAGGAACAGATCGAACACCTACAGCGCAAATTGGGTGCCACCAAACAGGTATAAGCCCCTTTGGGTCCCCTTGCTTCTGATACCGGGGTTCTCTTAGCCCTTTGTTGGATGCCTCTAGCTGATGTGACACCTTGATGGCATGGGTCCACTGTGATTCTTGGCTTGGCATGTTTTCTTGTGATTCTCCTCCCCCTCACCCGCCAAGGCCATCTGTCCACCTAGCACTTTCCATCTTGTCCCTACCCACTGGCTACAGGAGGAAGAGGCTCTGCTGTCAGAGATGGATGTGACAGGTCAGGCTTTTGAGGACATGCAGGAGCAGAACGGGCGACTGCTACAGCAATTGCGGGAAAAGGATGATGCCAACTTTAAGCTGATGTCAGAGCGGATCAAGGCCAACCAGATTCACAAGCTGCTTCGGGAGGAGAAAGATGAGCTGGGCGAGCAGGTTCTTGGCCTCAAGTCCCAGGTATGGCTGGTCCAGGGTGGAGCTTGCAGGGTGGAGCCCGAGAGGCAGGGCTCCTAGCACTTAATCCACCTCTCCCCCCCACCTCAGGTTGATGCCCAGCTGCTGACCGTGCAGAAACTGGAAGAAAAAGAGCGGGCCTTACAGGGCAGCCTAGGGGGTGTGGAGAAGGAGCTTACTCTGCGCAGCCAGGCCCTAGAGCTCAACAAGAGAAAGGTGAGGCTGGGCCTGTAGGGAGTCTACCGAGGCCTCTGGCCCCCCATCCTCCCTGATTTTGCTTGGAGAATCTGATGCAGGTGGCCTGGGGCAAATTCCTTGGCTCTGTCTCTTCCCATAGGGATAGCTCACAAGTATCAAAAGATTTATTGTGTGCCAGATCCTGTGCGTGATGTGTGGTCACATTTCAGTCACAAAACCTACCAGAATGGTTTTCATTATCATCCCCATCCCCCTGAATCTGAGGTTCAGGAGGTCAAATTGACTTGCTTAAGAAAGTGGAAGGGCTGGGGTTATGGCTTAGTGGTAAAGTGCCTGCTTAGAACAAATGAGGCACTGGGTTCAATCCTCAGCACCACATAAAAATAAATAAAAGTGTTGAAACCATCTACAACTAAAAAAAATTAAAAAGGAAAAAGAGGGGAGCTGGGGTTGGGATCCAGGTCTTGGCTTCGTGATCTACATAATCGCTCACTGGATAACTTGTCAATTGGGGATGGTGGTTTTTGTTGTTGTTGTTTGCACAGCTAGGAATTGAACACCTGGGGCCTTGCACCTGCTAGGCAAGCATTCTACCACTGAGCTACATACCCAGCCCAGGGATGGTGGTCTAGTTTTATTAAACATAAGAAGTATCTAGCTTATACTAAAGGTGTAACATTGATTTTTTTTTTTTAATTATTTATTTATTTATTAATCTTTCATGTGACCTTTTCCCTTACCCTGGGGATTGAACCCAGGGCCTTGTGCATGCAAGGCAAACACTCTACCAACTGAGCTATATACCAGCCCTGTAACATTGATTTTCATCCTGTTTTCCCTATTGCTCTACCTTCTTTTCTAGTTAATTCCTTTCATAAAAAGGTTTTTTTGTTTTTTAATGTCTCTTTTTTTTTTTTTTTTATACCACTGCAGAGACTGGGAATGAGCCTGAGCCCTGCCATTCAGTCTCAGTCAAGGCTGGAACTAATGAGGGGTAGATAGCAAGCCAGTAAACAATAAAATAGTGCCAGTTCAGAGCACACTAAGTTTTATGAAGGAAACTCAGGTGGTGTGAAAGAATAGCAGGGAACCCCCACAAAAGGTGACATTCAGAACTGAGTCCTGAAGGAGTTGCTTGTGTGTTGGGGGGAGTTCAGGGAAACTGAAGAGCCTGGTGAGGGCTCAGAGAACAGAGAGAGCATCTTGTAGGTGAGGAACAATGTTGGGAATGAGAGGGAGAGGAGGAGGTGAGGCTGAGGGTCAGGAATGGGACCAACTCCAGTGCAGATATCACTGAAATGTTTGACACAAATATTGGTGGAGCACAACTCCCTAGGCTCATGCAAAAGGTCTCTCCTTCCTTTCCCACCCACCTAAGGCTGTGGAAGCGGCCCAGCTGGCTGAGGACCTAAAGGTGCAGCTGGAGCATGTGCAGACTCGGCTGAGAGAGATCCAGCCATGTCTTGCAGAGAGCAGGGCTGCTCGCGAGAAAGAGAGCTTCAACCTCAAGAGGGCTCAGGTGTGTGCCTTGGAGAAGGCGGGTGGGCAAGGGTCCCCAGTTGGACTATGAAGCACACAGTTCAAGGGTGAAGACCCTTTCCCTTAGCCTAGCCTCTCTGCTGCTCCAGGAGGATATCTCACGGCTGCGACGCAAGCTAGAAAAACAGAGGAAGGTGGAGGTGTATGCAGATGCTGATGAAATCCTTCAGGAGGAGATCAAGGAGTACAAGGTGCGGCTGTGGGGTTGACTTGTGCCCCTTCAACTCAGGAATTTTACATGAGGGGTTGGAGATGTTTGTAATAAGTAGTCTGGGGACCCTAGAAATGAGGTAGGATGGCAACAAAACAAAACTGTCCACTGATTATGAAGTCAGACAGTTGGCATGAGTATTTGTTGGACACATGCCATGTGCCAGGTACAGTGCCTAAGGGGGTGGGGGATGGTAGGGTTTAGACCTCTTGAGATTGTCCTTTGGGGACAATTATTCCTTTTTGCCCAGTGATGAGTAATGTGATGACAGAAGCCAGAGGGGCCATGGGAACTCTAGGGAAGCCCTTGAAGGTCCTGGAGGTCAGTGGACTTCCTGGAAGGGATGTTACTCAAGGAAGACCTGAAGAGTGAGTTAATTATGGAGGGATAGGGATGAAAGGGCTCAGGCAAAAGCAAAGGCAAATGTGGAAGCCTCCAGTTGAGAGAGGTGTGTTGGACAGACAGAGCTAGCCAATGTGGTTGGAGGAAAGAGAATGGAGAGGTTGGGCAGTGGCAGATCCCAAAGGGTGTGGGAGTTGGGGTGAGCAGCTTGGCCTACATGAAGATAGTGTAGAGACATTGAAGGTTTTTTTTTTTTTTTGGCAGGGGGTGGGGAGTGCTAGGGATGGAAACCACAGCGTTTTGCAGGGCCTTTAAAATATACACTGCCTCTGAACTACACCCCCAGCCCCATAAAAGTTTTTTTTTTTATTTTTAATATTTTGTTTGTTATAGTTGGACACAATACCTTTATTCTTATTTTTTATGTGGTGCTGAGGATAGAACCCAGCATTCACACATGCTAGGCGAGCACTCTACTGCTGAGCCACAACCCCAGCCCCCATAAAAGGATTTTAAACAGGAGAGTGACATGGTCAGATTTGCTGTTGGATTTGAACTGGAAGAGGTAAAGGCTAGAGGCACCAAGATTGTTAGGTTATGGCAGTCACTGAGGCAAGAACTTCTATTTAGCTAGCTTAAGGTATTGTTTACTATAGATGGGTTCAGGAGATATTTAGGGAATAGAATTGTTTGGATGCAGGGATAGATAGAATGCATAGTGTCTGAGAAAGGGAAATACTGGAAAGACTCTTGATTTGAGAAACTAGTCATGTGTGGGTCACATATGATTGTAGTCACTCAGTAAGGATTTGTGGCATAAGTAGAGAAAAGAGTCATTCTCAGGAACCTGGAAGCTTAAGTGATGGGCAGATGAGAAAGCCTGAATGTTGGGAGGAAGGAAATTGATGGGGAGTTGATGGATGAACCAAGCCATGAGAAATGCCACTGGGACTTGGTGATCTGGGAGGGAAGATTTTTTGGGCAAGGGTGAGAGTAGAGCCACTAGAGTTAGGAGAGTGTAGGGGTGAATCAAAATCAGACAACTCTTACATTTGGACCTTGAAGGGGTAGGGATAGCTGATGTAGACTTGGGAACCTGTTCAGTGCTGATGGCTGAGAAATTTGAGGCTGCCTGCTGGTATTCCAAGAGTGCTGGCAAGGCTGAGTCAGGGCAATTCTTGTCTGGAGTTGAAGGTGAGACCCTCCTAGTGGCAGATAGGAGGTCTCAGGCTGAGAGAAAACCCACAGCAGCATCTCTGGGTTGCACCAGTGCTAGGCCCATTTGAGGCAGAGGTAGCACATTTCTAGTGGCACTGCCATGCCCGGATGTGACAGTAGGTACAGTTGAAGAGAAGGTAGACAGGATTGGGATTTTGTCAGAGGAAGCCAGTAGGACAAGAGAAGCCCAGGTGGAAGAGGCCAGGCTGGGGCTTTGGATCCTTGTCCTTGGGAGAATCCAGACTCTGCTACTTTAGTTTTGAGATGTTGGCTTCTGAGCCTCAGTTTCTGCATTCATAGAGTACTCATTCCACTTCCAAGGTTTTAGTGAGGATTATATTCATCTGCTGTTTGGGCTTAGTCTGAACCAATTCCTGCTATGAACCACTTCCTGCTGTCAGTTTAGGGTCTGGGCATCAGCAGTTATTCCAAAGCTGATGACTTTGCCTGGTCCAGGCGCGGTTGACCTGTCCCTGCTGTAACACCCGCAAGAAGGATGCAGTCCTTACCAAGTGCTTCCACGTTTTCTGCTTCGAGTGTGTGCGGGGCCGCTATGAGGCCCGCCAGAGGAAGTGCCCCAAGTGCAACGCAGCTTTTGGTGCCCATGACTTCCACCGTGTCTACATCAGCTGAACCTGAATCTCAGGGGACTTTGGAACACCCGTGGACCCTGGGGGCTGTGCCCCCAGCCCTTCCCCACCCAGGTGCAGTGGCCCCACCCTTCATTCCAGACCCCATGGGCCCAGCCCCTGCCCACCTAGTTGGTTTAGGGTCCTGGTGCATGCTATGGGAGTGGGATCAACTAGGCTCAGTTCCATCTTCTCCTGAAGGTCTGACCTGTAGCCTAGGGGGTGCTCCCATGAGGCTCAGAACACTCAACTGAGCTTCCCAGAAGCTGGCCCTAACACTGTTCCTGCTTCTCCATGGACTCATCCTAACCCAAAGGGGGATGTTCCCCAGGCTTTGACCACCCACCAAGAGGAGGCTCACCGTCTACGTACACACCCACAATAAGGACCAGAGATGGGCCAATCCTCAGCCCCTTGCTTGAGACTAGGACATAGGCCCCAGAGAGACTTTCTTCACCTATCAACCCCTAGCCTGGGCAGGGCTTTTGTCCTTCCTGTGGAGTTCTCTGGATACTGGTCTGGCTCTTGTGCCACAGGCTGAAGCTACCCCTGGGCAACTACCCTCTTCCTCTGGGAAGCTCTACAGTTGCTGCAGTCACTGCCCTCATCTTGGGAGTGCCGAACCAAGATCATCAATTTCTATTCTAATCAAGCCCTTCCCAATCTACTTGTCTCCCAGCCCACTTACCCCCACCCCAGGTATCCATCCCATGGCTCCACTGGGTCCTTGGCTCTAACTGTGCTTTCATCCTGGTGGCCTTAAATGCAATGGAGTTGAAACTTCCCAGAGGGGAAGGGATAGACCAGCCCCAGCCACTGGGCCAACTTCCAATCATTCCAGGTAGAAAAGCTTTGCCCAAAACACTCTGTGACAGCCTGTATACAGGATGCATCCATACTGTCTGCCCAGGTACACTCTGTGGGCTGTGACAGCACCCAGAGGGGCCTGGGAGGTGGAGCTGCTGACAGGTGCAGGGACCTATTTGGTTGCAGCCGTTGCTCTAGAGATGTCTTATATAGGCTGTTACTTGTTATGAATAAACGTCCAGCCCTCGACCTACAGTCAGTAGCCAGACCTCTTGCCCCAAATGTAGTCCATTTTTAGCTGCTGCTTGTTGGGCATCTCCCTGACTTGCTTTGGACCTGGGGAGGGAAGGGCAGCGCTTATATGAGAGCCCATTTCTGCCCACCCCGAAGGCTGTTATGCTTAGGCATAACAGCAGCCAGGGATCCCAACTGTGCCTTGGCGGGGCGCAGCTCTAGGTTACTGCAGTCAATCAGATACTGCTCTTATTGGGAGGCTGCCGGCCCTTTGAGGTCCGTACTGGTCCCGCCTCCGGCAGTCATTGGCCATTGGGATGCTGGGAGGTCTCGAGCTGCATCTTGGGAAATGAAGTCCCATGTTCTTACCTAGCAAGAATATTCTAGACGCAAGGAGAGAACCAGGTTGTTCCGCCCAAAGGTTGAACATGAGCCCAAATCTGCTGGCAGTCCCTCCACGGCTTCACCCGTCCCTCCCCAATGGACGCATAGATCGGGACACATCAGCAGGGTGACTTCCTTCATTGCGACCTGCTTGGGCCGCTGACCGGGTCCTCGGGGTTACCCAGCATTGTTTCTGGGTTCAGCTCGCTGTCTCTCGGGCGGGGCCCTTACAGGTCTGGAGCCAAGGCCGGTGCTGAGTGGAGTTGGGGTTGGTTCCGGAGTAGCAGTCCCAGCCATGGCTATGGTTGCGGTTGCGCCTTCTCGGGACCCGGCAGCCTTGCCAGCCAACGCGCCTTCGCGGGGATTCGCGCCCTTGTCGGCTTTCGGAGTCCACCTGGGGCTTAGAGTTTCGTGGGGGCCACAGCGGCCGAACCAAATTGGACTGGAGACGGACATGCGGGCTACGAAGACTTCAGGTGTGGGGCTGGTAGCGATGGGCATACTCGCTGAGGCACGGGCCGCGGCTGGCGATGACATCGGGCCGCCGAGGAAGTGTCCCAGGCCGGTGTGCAGTGGGGCGGGGCGGGGATGAAGGGCTCAGGGTATTACATCATAGAGATGCGAGCATCTGCACTGGGGGAGAGGACCAGCATCGGAGAGGAGCCTGTTGCCTGGGCGCAGGTGGAGACCAGCCTGTCTTTTGCGAGCACGATCCTCTCAGGAGTCACCTCCGCTTGGGCGCCTTAAGTAAAATCAAGTAACTAAATATTATCTCTAGATATTTTCCCTAAAAGCTAGTCTCCATATTGGAAGGAAGTGCCAAAAACTTCATACCTAAATAGTAAAGTAGGACTCAAAGCACTTTCTCAAGTTCAAACCAAAGGGAATGGTCCTAGAATCTCACTGTGAGGAGAACGCATTGATGGCGGTGGCAGAAACTCTCAATAAGCCATAATTTATCATGAGCGTGTCAGGTGCCGGCAGGGTCTGTCTTAATGGCTAGTCTGGCCTTTCTATCCCGAGACTTGACCAGCTTACTACTGGCAGTAGCTCCCCTAGTCTCAGTGACTGTGGTACCTAGGGATGGGAAGGCCAGAACTCCTCTTTGGCCAACCCTGACTTTGGCTGTTCTTTCCTGAGTGAACAGATGGCATCAGTGATGGACTAGGGCTACTACCTGCAATTGGCTAGTAGAGCATTTAAAATGGACCACTCCCAGAGCTTCCCTTGGGGCTTGTGACACTGCACTTGCCTGGGTTTCCTCCTACTCATAGTCTTTTGTTGGTCCTCTTTCTCCACCCCTAAACTAGACTCTCATTTCTGTTTTGCTACTCTCCCTGCGTGTATTTATCCATGGCCATGACTACAGTAGAGCTATTAAGACCACCAAATTTTGTTCCTGAGCCTGAAAATAACCATTGTTCATTGGGTGGGAGGGATTATGTCATTCTCAATATCCCACTAGCACACCTTCCCTAGTCACCTCAAACAAGTACTCCGCTGTGGCCTCTGCTCTCTAATTTTGTGTTCCTTAATTCCCACTCTGTTTTAAGTTCATATTCAACCGTGTGTGCCCTCTATTGCCCATCCCACTCCTGGCATCTATACATTTGATTTCCTGTTCCTGAGACTGCCATCTTTCAGGTCACTTCTTCTAGTATTATCTGGCCCTCTACTGTGGCAGGCACCATCTGTGGGTCCACAGTCACTTTTGCCATCTCTGAACCAGAGTGTTTTAAGTCACTGTGCTCCAATTCCTGCTCTCTCCTTGGAGTTCCCTCACCTTACTGAGGACTCCAGTGCTGAGACTTGTTCTGATATGCCTCAGTGTCCCCAGTGCTGGGAACCAACAGAATATGGAGTCTTCATTAACCGCCCCTGTATGTAGGCAAGTCGTTCCACCTATCCCTTCCTACCCTGCCTACTTTCCAGGTGAGAGGAAGAGCCTGCTCAGAGTGGCACCTGTAGGGAGACACTTCCCTGCCTAGGGCAAGAGTCCCCTGGTGGACAGAGGCAGGTGACAGGCTAGCACCCGACTACAGGCAGCCACTCAGTGGCCATAACCAGGCTCAGGAGATACAGCACAGAAGTAAACCTGGCATTGAGAATTCCTTGGAGCAGCCCCAGCTGGCCCAGACAGTGTGGAGCCCAGGCCAGGCCCAGGCAGGCCCAGCCATAGGAGGAAAGGCTTGGCTGGGTGCAGAGCCACTCAAATTCCTGGCCATTCTGGTTTCACTTGCTGACTTTGCTGTGGATCTTGAGCAAGCTTAGCTGCCTTTCCTTGAGCCTCAGCTTTCCATATGGTGAGGATCTATGAGCTGACATCCTGGGAGTGAGATGACAAACCAGAGCTCCACCCACCTCTCCTCAGGGTCTAGGAAGCCCCAGTCCAGAGGAGGGATTGAGCCAGGCCAGGACCCAAGGGAACCAGGAATAGTAGCTGGAACTAGATCCAGAGCAGCTTTTCCCAGTGGCACCCTGGGGAGAGTGTGAGTATTACAGCTAGAGAGGCCTCCCTGGGCTGCATAGCTGGGCATGAGCTGGCCAGTGCCAGAGTCACCATGCAGCCATCTAGCAGTCAGCATGCCATCATGCTATTGAAGCCAGGTGCTGAAAAAAGCTTTTTGGTTTTGCCACCAGTTGATCAGATTCCACCACCACCCCTGAGGTATCCCCTCCTCTCCTATTAAGGGTATGGATTTAATTTACTTTTTTCTTTCAGTGCTGGGGATGGAACCCAGTCCCTTGCACAGGATAGACAAGCACACTACTACTGAGCTACACCCCAGCTCAGCAGGATTTTTACATTTCTTAAACCCCACTGGACAGGCATTTTAGACCTCCTAGGAAAAGGCTAGGCCTGGGGCTAGACTGAGCTTTGTCACTTATGAGCCCTGGCTCAGAGAGAAGACAAGCTCTTTGAACTTGCTTTAGGCTGAATGAGAAGACAAAAAAAAAAAAAAAAAAAAAACACTGGGAAATCTTATTCCCTTTATTCTCTTCAACTAATCAACATGACCACCAGTGACACAACACTGTTATTGACACACAACACTCAAAAGTGGGGCCTCTCTTCACAGGGACAAGTCAGGTGAGAGGGGCTTCCCTCATGGGGGCAAATGAGTCTGGGAGCTGCTCACCTCAGGGTGGAGGTCATGGAGCCCCACCTCTTGGTTGTGATGGTTTCAAGTTCCCCCCTCTTCAGGATTCATGCCTAGTTCTTTTGAGTTCCCATCTGACCTCCAAAGCCATAGCAGTTTCAAGTTTCACCCTAAGCTCAGATCAGTTTCTAGACCCTCCCTTCTGCTTTCACCAATGACTCCTGGCCTCTGGCTGATGGAGTCCTCCACTAGGGCACTTCTGAGGGTTCTGGGGCTGGCATGGAGTTGGATAAGAGGGTTTGACTATATTATGCCTTCCAGACTGTTCTGGTGGGCAGGTGTCTGGATCCCTGGCCCTGTCTGAGCTAGTCAGGACTCTGACACTGCCACCTCCCTGCTAAGTTTCTCAGATGTAGCTGGCTCCAGGAGGGATGAACCTGGCTAAAGAAGTTTGGGAAGGTGGGCAAGAGAGAACAGGCCACACCCAGAGGTCTCTGACTCTGCCCCTTTCCTACTGGGAAGTCCTAGACTCCACCAGCAGTGTCCATATCATCCATTCAGTACCTGAGCCAAGACCCTTAGCCTTCACCTGTCCCCACAATATGCGAGCATCCTACTATGTACGCTACACCCTAGTCCTCAATAGGCTACAGCTGACCTTGACTAAGACCACCTCCCCCAAAAGCTGTTCCCCAGCACTCTTCTGAGGACAGATTCTCAGACCTGTGTCTGAGAGAATCTGCTCCTAGCTTTAAGGAGTTTGTCTCTACAACTGAAGTTTCTGCTACCATCTTAGAAGGGAACAAATCAGCTTAGACTTGGAGGACTAATCTCCTCTGAGTCTTATAGGGACACCCCTTCATGGACATTTCTGACAATAGAGATTTGCAGTCAGGCTCCTCAGTGGACCTCTCCTTCCTGGCACTTGGGTGGGGTGGGGCTTAATGCGGAGGTTAACAAGGCCCTCTCACAATTATATAAGACCTGCTTTTCCTTTCCCGCAGCAGGCCTGGTCTTTTTCTCCCACAATGTTCTAGATTTTGATCCTTTTAGAATTGAGGGTTATCCCTTTGTGGACAGGATAGATGAGGGTGAAGGGTTTTCACCTTTTGAACTTACAGATAATGAGATTAAAGGTCTCTTTCACAGCTTTGTAGGAATCCAGGTAGCGCCTCTCTGGGCATGTGACTCCTGAAGAGCCACCTCACCTCTCAGTCCTCCTACTCCAGGACAGTGCATTGCTGGTGCCAGTGTGGGGCCAGGGGGCACTTCCTTTCCAACTGAGCACTAAGCAGAGTCCTCCCCATCTTTAAAGGTTTCCAGGGTTATGGGGGGATCCTTGTTGCAGATGCTTCTTTTCAGAGTCTTCTCTCTCTAACCATTTTATAGGGCACCCATCTCTCCCCATCACACAGCCCCAGTCACATAAGCAGGTTTGGCTGGGTTTATGAAGTATAGCTGTGCAGTGTGTGAGGAGAAGTGAGCAGCCTGGTAGAAGGTTTCTCATCCTTCCATTTCCCTCCAGTGGTTTCTAGC